CCACATTTTCTCAGGTCACTAGCATACCTGTTTCTTTTGTGAATATGAATATAAAAACCCTCAAGAAACATTAGCAAACATGATCCAGCAAAATATACAAAGATTTATACACTGTGACCAAGTGGGATTTATTCCATGGTTGAAAGGTTGGGTTAACATCTCAAAATCCATCAATGTAATAAATGAGATGAGTAGAGTAAAAAGCAAAAATGGCAAGATCATTTCAATAGACTCAAAGAAAATAATTGACATTATTTTCTTTAATGATTAGGACACTCAGCACACCCAGAACAGGAGGAAATTTCCAGACCTCACTTATTGTGAGCATCCGTGGAAAACTCACAGCTAATATTATATTTAATTATGAAAGACTGCATGCTTTTCTCTGAAGACAAGGAGCTAAGGATGCCTACTCCTGCCACTTCTGTTCACCAGTTTACTAGAGATTTTAGGCAGAATCATTATGCAAGAAAAGGAATAAAATGTGTGCAGATTAGTTAGGAAGATGTAGAACTATCCCTACTTTCAGATGACTTATCTTATATATAGAAATCTCTAAAAAATCCACTAAAATAACTATTGAAACTAATAATTGAGTTCAGTATGGTTGTAAGATTCAAGGTCAAAATATAAAATCAATCGTATATCTATACACTTACAATGAACATCCTGATAATGAGATTAAGAAAAAAAATATATTTACAATAGAATCAAAAGGAATAAAATGCTGAAATAAATTTAGCAAGATAGGTACAAAACATATACTCTGAAAACTACCAAACATGGTCAAAAGAGTTTAATAAATGTATAAATAAATGGAAAAACATGTCAATTTCATGGATCAGAAGACAACATTGTTGAAATGGCATGACTCCGTAAAATGATCTAAAGATTCAGCGTAATGCCTATTATGATCCCAGCTGTAATTTATAGAAATTAGCAAGCTGTTTTATAAAGTTATGTGGAATTGCAAATGAACCAGAATTACCAAACCATTCTTAAAAAAAAAAAAAGCTAGGACTGACATTTCTTGATTTTAAACCTTTGTACAAACCAAAGAGAATCATGATAGTGTGGTACTAACACAAGGATAAACATAGAGATCTGCAGAATAGTTTGAGATTTGAAAAAGAAAACTTTACATCTACGGTCAACTGATATTTGACAAAGATACCACAAATTGTAAAATAATTTTTTCCATACTTTTTTTTTTTAGTAAATTGGTGCTTGCCCAAATGGAAAATCACATGCAAAGAAACAAGCTGAGAGGAGAGAAAGAGCAATTAGGGGGATCATTTTATAAACTATATACATGTCTAACTAATGTACTGTATACTTGAAACTAATAGTAAAATCAAATTTAAAAAAAGGAACAGGTTGTACTATATACATCCCACCACATACTATGATTCATCAAAAAGGATCAAAGACCTAAACATAAGACAAAACTACAAGTTAGATAAACATAGGAAAAAATAATCCTGACCTTGGATTTGGCAAAATATTGTTAGACATGACACAAAGATTAATAATGGAACAAATACTGGTAATTTAGATTTCAAGATATAAATGACTTTTGTGCTTCAAAGGACACCATCCAGGAAAGTGAAAACCTGTGCATCATTGCTGGGAATATAAAATAGTGTTGCCAGTATGAAAAACAGCACTACAGTTCATCTAAAAATTAAGAACTGAATTACTATCTGATCAGGACTCAAGCACATATATATCTGCTTGTGTTCATGTTGGCATTATCCACAATAGTCAAAAAGTGGAAGTAACCCAAGTGTTCAACAACAGGTAAATGGGTCAAAAATATTTGGCACATGCATACAATAGTTATTTAGCTTTAAAAACAAAGCAAATTCTGACACATGCTACAACATAAATGAACTTTAAGGACATTATGCTAAGTGAAAATAGCCTGCCAAAAAACACCAAATGCTGTATGATTGTTTTTTGTTTGAGGAACCTAGAGCAGTCAAATTCATAGAGACAAAAAGTAGAATAGTTGGTGCCAGGAGCTGGCGTGAAGAATGAAGAATGAAGAGTTGTGTCTAATGGAATATAGTTAACAGTTTTGCAAGATTAAAGTCATCCTGGAGACTGGTTTCACAATGTCAACGTCCTTCTCCTTACTGAATGACACTCTTAAAAATGCTGAAAATGTAAATTTCATATTACCACATTTGCAAGTAAAATTTTAAGGCAAGAGAGTGAAAACACGAACCACAGAATATAAAAATTTTGCATATATATCTGCTAAGAAATTTGTATCAAAAATATCTACTTAATTATAGAAAGTTGAACCACTCAATTTTAAAATGTCAAAGGATTAAATACATGTTTTTCCAAAGAGAATAGACAAATGGTCAAGAGTACACATGCATTAGTCATACTTGAAATGCAAAAGTGAATGCAAAAGTGAAATGAAGTCATCGATCAAAACTCTAGTGAGATATCATTTCACATCCCCTAGGATGGCTACAGTCAAAAAGTGAGATAACAAACGTTGTCAAAGACATGCGGAGATATCTGAACCCTCACATGCGAGTGGTGCGACATAAAATGGTACAGCCACTATGGAAAACCATCTGGAAGTTTCTCAAAAATTAAAGGTAGAATTATCATATAATTCCTCGATTCCTCTCACAGGTATATTATGCTAAGATAAGTGAAAATACATGTTAAAACAAAAACTTGTACATCAAGTTGATAGCAACATTATTCACAGTAGCCAAAGAGTGGAAACAAACCAAATGTACATTAATGGATGAACGGATAAATAATATCTGTTTTATCCATCCAATGGAATATTTTTCAATCATAAAAATAAATGATGTATTGATACATGTTACAACATGATGTCTTTGAAAAAATTATGCTACATCAATGAAGTCAATCACAAAGACCACAAATAATAGAATTTCTTTCCTATGAAAGCCCTGGATAGAGAAATCTGTAGACAGAAAGTAAACTCAGGGTTGCCTAGGGCTGGGGATTGGAGAGGAAGATGGGAAATTAGGGAATTATAACTAAAGGGGAGAGGGGTTTTTCACTGTTTTAGCAAATTTCAAGTATACTATATAGTATATGTATATCAAATCATTATGTAATCTTTAAATACAATTTTATTAATCATTTATGCCTCAATAAAACTAGTGGGAGAAAAGTTTCCAGGTGCCTCCTGTATTTACACAACGATCTAATTTTTTTTATGTTACTAAAAATAGGAATCAGTTTTCTGAGGGATATTATAGTGGTTTACATTTTAAAATTCTCTATGGATTGATACAAAAGATTATCTCAATTAAATTTCCTTCTGGTGTAAAATGTACACGTGAGAATGTAATGAACACATCTTATCCCCTGTGGTTAGACTGAAAAGAGTCCCTCAGGCCAGTCTGGGGCTGCTGGTTCCACCTTCCCACCAGAGCCAAGTGCTCTGGGCTTCTATCTCTTAAAGACCAAATGAGTGGAGGTGGGGCAGGGATGGGTGGAAGGCTCAATGCTTTTAAAGATCAAAAACTAAAATGTAGCCAGACTATTACAGATGGTGGGGTCACATTTACGTGTCCGCGTTTCTGAACAAGGGTCTCAGCTCCGTGAGTGGACTAAATAGCTTTCCTGCCAAGCCCATGACTTCTAGAGGACCTAAGATTCTCCTGCCTCAGTGTCACCTTGGCTGAGTCACCCTCATCCTCTGTACTTCTTGCTCCATCTGGAAACTGAATCAAGAATTCTCTGGGCACACGTGTGCCCACAAAGAGCTGGGAGGAACATCACAGTCAGAACTGAAACTTGAACCATCTGTGCCTCTGAGGCTGAGAATGGGAGAATTTCAGATAACAAGTGAAGTTTGCCTGCAAGTAAAGAATTGAGAGTGTGTGCAAAACTTTTCTTTTATCTGGACAAAAATTGAAATACATTCTTGGGCTGGAGCTATTGCCTCCTGTTCTGTGGAGATACTTTTTTTTTTTTGGAGTGAATGGATGAACGTACTGTTGTAGCCGCCAGCCCCCAAAAGACACACGGACCACCAGAAATCAGTGAGTTATAGGAAACATGCTCTTTATTCAGCCAGCTGCGTCTGTCAGGCGTACGCAGACCCCAAATTTAGCAGCCCCGAAATGTAGAGGTACAGGGTTTTTAAGCCCTAAATCCTATTCCTCATTCTGTCTTAAACACAAAGGTCTATTTTTCTCCTATTCACTACCTGTCAACCCACAAGTCAGGTGTGCAAGCGGGGCTATAGAAGCAGAAAGCTTATTGTTAGAATGTTATGTTCCCATGGGTGATAGCCTATGTTCCCATGGGCGATAGCCAAGCAGTAATTTTCCAGCCAGCACAGTACATAATAAAACCAACAAAATATTTTTAATATATATAAAGCACAAAATTAAAATAAAGTTATTGTCGATTTTAGTGTTTTACAGTATTTGAGGAAACAATTGTTACAAGTTTAGTACTCTGAGTAACTGATAAAGCAGAAACAATTCAGTTTTTGTAGTAAAGGTGTCACATGCAAACAAAATGAATGAAAAAGTCAAATGGTTTGACTCATTCTCCAAGAGCCACTCAAGCTGAACTGTGAAAGAGGTTTAACGCTGTATCCCTAGGCGATCTTTTTTCTCTCCGCCTGTTCATTTTTGTTCGTTTTATTTATTTGTAGTCTGATTTTTAAAAGATTCAAGTTGGTTAATTTCAGTTGTGTAACAACCTGACATGATGAAAGAAACTCTTTAAAGGGACTGTGTCTATGGTTTGATTTACTTAGAAATTTTATTTTCTTATAACTTAAGTGTAATAAAAAGTTTTTTTCACATTTAATAAAAACACTACACAAGCAGCCCCAGGATTAGGAAAAAAAAAAAATCTGTTTATGCAAATGTCCCAGGCTGGGTCGAGTTCCCGCCCACCTGGAAAAGCTGTTTCAGCGGAGCCTGAGTTCTCCTGTTGGCTGTCACTCAGCCTTGGGACCTGTCCAATCAGGAGCGCCGCTGGGGCAAATGGGTGGGGCAAAGCTAGGCAATGTTTTCAAGGGCGCTTAAGCGTCGGTGTCGCCTGCCCTTCAGGGTGCGTGGTGCGTTGGTTGCACTGTCTGTCGTGCTGTGATCTGCACTGGTCCTAAGAGTAGGAAGGACTCAGGGAGACCCAGGAAACCTAAAAATGGTGAGTGTGGGGCCCGGTGAGACGGGAGATGGGGCTGGCTTGAACCGGTTGAAACCGGCTGTGGCGGACTGGCCTCCTTGCGCTCACCTCTGAAGTCTGTGGACCCGAGTCCCCCAGGGGGCGCCGCTTGGAGCTCAGTCCCTTCTGACACACAGAGTGGGGGCTTGACTGGCAGTCATTTGGGACCCGGGGCATTCTGTCCTGCCACTGAGGGCTGCAACTTCGCCCAGGAGCCTCTCTGGACAGCTCTGCCCCTGCAGCCCCTCTTTCCAGATGGTGGTGTGACCACTGAGAGAGTCATGAGGATGATGGTGAGTGGGTCTCTTGGGCTTCGTGAATGGGAGTAGCTGTCCTTTGTGAGGTCCCAGTGTGGACGAAAAAGAGGTGCTGTAATAAATCTCACCGAAAGTAACCTCCGGGAGTGATCTGATCATAAATTCCTGACTGGGCAAGTCATGGTGGGTAGTCAAGCCCCAGGCACATAACTGCTTTAGTTAAAGATTTATCTTTGCCTTAAGCAAGCCCTGTCCATTGTTCTTGTGCATTTAGGTCAACACAACCTTTGAAATGCCTCTTATTCAGACGTCTTGGAAACATAACCACCCTCAAGAGAGCACGTAATCTTGTTAACTACCCTGTAATCCAATCCTCACTTTGCTTTCTCCCACGGTCGTATAATCTTTCTTGCTTTCCCTCCTCATTTCCAAATGCATAAAAAAACCCCTGCAAACTGTCATTCTCAGAAACATTTTTCTTGGTCTGCTGAGATATTGCTTCCAGGCATATCCTTTGTTTGAACCAAATAAACTCTAATAAACACATAACATTTTTTTCTGCAGGATTGGACATTCTTTACCTCCACACCAGTCCTTACTGTGTCCCCAGGGAGACCTGTTCATTGTATCCTGATTTTCCAAATGTTTGGGGAGCAGGATTTCAGACCCATGCCCCTGTCCTCCCAGCCTACCTCTTTCTGGGACTGGCAGTCAGTCCCTAAATATCCAGATCCCTCCTCGCATTGGGAAACGCCAGCTTCAAGTCATGGCATCATTATCAGTTATTTATCATTTTCCCACAAAGCCATGGATGCTCTTTTAAAAGATTTATTTGTAGATATTTTACAGGAGAGGAGAGCCAGGAATAACCATCTGGAAAACTTAAAATACTTAAAATTAAGTAGTTTCAAATCCCCGTTCCTCTCCGTCAAGACCTCCCCTGGGCACAGACATCCTGTGGGAAGTCCTTTCGTGGAGGCTTCTCTTGGGAAACTTTCCTGGGCGTTCTCTCCTGTCAGCACTGCCCCTCCCTGGGTTTGTCACTTGAAAACATTATTGACTCAACGCTCAGTTTTTCAATAGGGCTAAAATATATTTAATTTTAGAGCTTGAAAGACAGTATAAAATAGTTCCAAACAGACACAAAAGAGGTGGATTTCAGAAAAAAAAATATTCCAGTATTACATTCCATTTCTGTTGAATTCTTTTACTCTTTTTTTCCCTTGAGTATGTCTAGTAATTATTTTTTTCTTTGAGTGTTTTCAAGTAAAATTCCAAGTTTAGACCTGCAGAGCAGAAGAACTCAAGTATGAATAATAGTTTACAAACCAATTACTTTCCCTGGAAATATAATTAACTGACATTTTTCTGAAAAGAACAGATTTTAAGAATTTTCTAACTGAACTAGTAGAAGATCCTTACAATTTTATTCCTTCCTTTCCACATGACACTAGGTTTATGTGAATTTGCTCAAACACTGGGCATTTATCATTTAAAATCAGCAGTGGTCCAAAGCAGCTCCAGTACAATCAGAGGCCTGTGGTCAGCGACCCAAGCGAAGGCCCCCTTGACCTGCAAAGAGAAGCACTTGAAGGCCCAGTGGTTCTCCCTGGGGAGCCTCCCCCTGCAGGTGACCTACTTGCTCACACCCACCATGGAGGAGCCTTTACACTGAGAGAAGCTGCAGCCTTGGAGAGCTGGGAGTGCACATGTGTATGGGGTGAGGGAGTGAGGATCTTCTGGGGTATTAGTTGTGGTTCCCCTGGACCTGTTTCTAGGCATAGGTTGGAGTTTTGCATTCACAGTGTAGTTGTGCTCAGAGTGTAATTTGCGTGCAGTGAGAAAGTCTGTGAAGTTCAGGGGTTCTGTCTCGTGGACAAAGGGTTTATGAATTGGGGAGTTCACTGGGGTCAGAATTTAAGCTGAATCAGGCTGAATTTACTCACTGTGAGAATGGAAGCCTGGGAGAGGGAGCTCTTCCATGCTTACAGGAGGGGAGAGGGGTGTGGGGCTCCCAGAATTCATTGCTGGGGCTGCTCAGGTGTCCCTCCCCTGCTTCCCTAGGGACTGATCCACTCCAGGGTTCTGTTTCGAGCAGGAGTGCCTAGACCCCTATTGTGGGAACATGTTCACCTTTCTGAATGTGGGTCTCCTGAACTGTAGAGAAGCAGGTTGCTTGTCTGTTTAGATTCCAATGTCTGTGTTTTTCATTGGATTTCTTTAACCATTGAATATTGCAGTCTTTTTATTCTCATTTCTCTTAGCACCTGGGCTTTTTAAAAATCACAATATTGCTTTTAATAATTAAAAATTGGAAAACAAAATGTATAATAATAGTAGTAGCCAACATTTACTGAACGGTCATTATATACCAGGCACTGTTGTATGTGCTGCACGTGGACTACAGTATTATTTTTATACTATTTTACAGCTTAGGAAACTGAGGTGCAGAGTAAATTTTGGTACATACGTAGAATGAAATCCCATAGAGCTATTGAAACTTTTGATGTAGAGACAACTTTCTTTTGGAGACACTGAAAAATATAATTTTATGCTGGATTTTTAAAAAACAGGTTCTGAAACAGTATGAATTCATTTATGTAAAACTCTATACATTTATTCGTTTTTAGAGATGTCTAGAAGGGTGCTTACATGTTACATCTACAATGTTAAGATCGTAAGATCTTGAATAGTTTTTACTTCTTTTTGTACTTTTCCATGTGGTTTGGATTTTTTAAATGACTGCATATCAATTTAATAAAATCAAAACATTTTAAGAAAATCAATGACATGGTTAATGTCAAGCCCCGTTTCTTTAAAACAACTTCCATAAGTTTAGCAGTTGATGAAATGAAAATATTAAATAAATAATAAATTAGCATCTTTAAAATAAGGATGGAATATTGACTGTTTTTCAGACATCTTTTGAATGTAGTCGACCTATGCTATTACTTCACGTCCACTTAAAGATTATCTTTATTTTTCAGTCCCTCCAATATTCCTAACATAACTTTTTTTCTTTTTAACAAGCAAAACTAAATTTTTCTTTCATTAGAGCATATGGAGACAGTTTAAATGTAAAAGTAGCTCAGTACTTTAAGTGGCTCTATTTAATTTAGTTTAAACATCTTTGTGTGGGCAAAACTTCTATTTATTTCAGTCACTTGTATTAGTGTTTTCCAAACATCTCAGGAAATTACCTGGGGCACTTACAAAAACAATTCTGCTTCCCAAACCATAGCTACTGAATCAGGCTCTTGGGAAAGACGAGTAGTTTTTAAGGTAGAAATCTAATTTTTGAATCCCTTTCAAGAGTGACCAATTGGAAATAAGTACAATATATCACTGTATTGCAATAGTGCGATGATTGTGGGTGTTTGAGAAAATCTGTACAAAAGCTATTTAGTAATGTTTTCTTCAGAGTTGGAGTTGCTTCCTGGTTTCTGCAATGTCATCTCACGCGGACAAGTTTTAAGACTAGATGCTTCTGGGCCACATATCTCAGCCTGTCGTGTATTCCACCCTCTGCTGCCCAGTTTCTGTCTCTCCTTTTCAAAATATATGGCTTCAAGAAGTTACTCATTTCCAGATTTAGTGTTTAAGCAATCACCAAAAAAATTGTTTTTAAAATTTTAAAGCATGCTTTCACATTGGAATTTGTAGATTCTTTAAAATGCAACTTTGACCTTCACTTGACCATCATTTTTTCAGCACTTTATTTGATTTTTTATTCGTTTCAAATATACAGTACATTGTTTAGACATTTATATACTTTATGAAATGACCCCCCTGATTGCTCTGTCACCCCTGTGGCTCTACACACAGCCATTACATTAATGCCGACTGCATTCCCTATGCCATACTCCCCATCCGGGTTTTAAAATATAACTTAAGGTCGATGTCTTGGGCCTATCTGTTTCTTTAGCGTGAAGGTGTGACTGAGGCTGGGGTCACCTCAGTAGCAGGAGGTTCTTAGGGGATTCAAGGATGTTTATACCCTGTGAGTGAGGTGAGCCCATCAAATGGTCGGTCACTCCTTAGAGCGCAGGTATTTAAGACAGAGAAGAGACAGATTAGGCAGCCCATAGCTGGTGGGCTGGGTCCTCTCTCCTGATAGAGAGGGCTCCTCACTATGTTCCTTATGTGCCTCTGTTGTTGCTGCCCCTGCCTTGCCGCAGTGCAGATTTTGGCCCTGCAGCTGGGGACAACACACAGCCTCACTGTGGCACAGCAACGAGACTAGTTCAAACAGGATTTAAGCCCTGGGTCCTTAAATCCTGCATAGTGACTCTTTCAATGTGGGAGGCCTCCAACACTGATTGTACTGATTTGAGGCCCTCTGGGGGAAAAAAAAAGGTAGATACCAGGGTAGAGAGGACACCCATTTACTTAAAGTTTACCCAGTGACCTAAAATACAAAATAGGAAAGGACACGAGAAGAGAGGAAAACGAGGAAAAAGGGTATTGAGAAAAGCCCCACAATTTGACCCAGTTACAAATCTGAAAAAAAAGTATTTACATAACAACAAAAGACAAAAGGAGACTCTTGACTTTTGAGCCTCTAAAACATAGGTTTTTGAATTAATGTTGTCGTCTCCTGTAACTCAGTGATTGCCAAACCATCACCCAATTACTCAGTGCTGTGTTAAATTACAGTTATACTTGGGCTCAGTAAATTTAAGCAAGGTCCCCCATGACCTCAGGGGAATTACTTAACAGAATATA